TCACACGTGTATGCTTTATTGTGGGGTGCATGTACAAGAGTGCTCATGCACATCATGTAGAAGCCAGAGCAGGACACCAAGTATTGTCCTCTATTCTGTCTTAGTGCTTTCTGACGCTCTCCTACTGAAACAGAAGCTGGAAACTAGATGTTTTGGCTGGGATGGATGGCCAGGGAGCTTTTGGGATATGTCTGTCTCTGCCCTCCACTTCTGGGGTTATAGGCATGCACAGCCATGCCTGGCCATATTTTAAAAATTTTATTTTAAAATGTTTTATCATCATTTTATGTGTATGGATGTCTTGCCTGCATGTATGTCATGTGTGTTCAGTGACTATGAAGACCAGAAAAGGTCATGTGATCCCATGGATTGGAGTCATGGACATTTGTGAGCTACCATGTAGGTTCTGGGAATTGAACCCTAGTCCCCTGGAAGGGAAGCCTGTACTCTTAACTGCAGCCATTTCTCTAGACCCCCCACCCCAAAATTTAGAATTGTATTTATTTGTGTGTCCATGTGTGCTTGTATGTGAATGTCACAGTATGCATGTGGAGATCAGAGAACAACTTGTATGAATATGTTTTCTCTTTTTTCCTGGTGATCAAACTAGGGGCTCCTGCCTTGGTTACTGAGCCATTCTGATGGTCCTATTTGTGTGGGTGCTTGGAATCTGAAGTCACTGCCATGGCCCTAGTCCCTTAGTTGTTGCAAAGTTTGTATTATGAAAAGTTTTATTTGTCTATGTGTGTAGAGTATGTATGTATTTGTGTTGTGTATGTGTGCATATGTGCGTTCCTTTGAGGCAGGGTCTCTCTATGAGTTTTGGTGTCTGGAGCCCCCTGTTTTACATGGATGCTAGGATCCAAACCCCAGTCCTAATGTTTGTGAAGCAAGCACCCTTAGCTGCTGAGACATCTCTTAAGCATCCAAGAAAGGGTGTTGATATAGATTTACATAGAGTTTCATGTAGAACGGTCCGGAAAGACAGCTATATACATGAAGAATGGTGAGTATGGGTCTCTTAAGGCAGTCATTCTTCCTTATTCTTAAACTGAGTTACGTTTGTATTGTTGAGATTTCTACAATTTAGATATTACTCAACTGTTAGAATTGAATTTGCAAATATTTAATTTGCCTGTTTATCTTCTCTATCCATTCTCTTGAAAGGATCTTTGTTAAAGTGAATATTTTAAATTTTGGTGAAATAAAATTTGTCATTATTTTCTTTTGTGGATCATATTTTTAATATTATTTCTCTGTTCCCTCCCTCTCTCCACATATGTATGATGTATGTATGTATGTGTTTGTGCATATCTGAGATCAAACTGAGGACCTCACATATGCTAGGTAAATGCTCTATTGTTGAACTACATCCCCACCAAGACATTTTTACTCCTTCCATTACAATGGAATATAATTACAGTTTGTGTTTTTCCCTCAGCTAATTAACACTGGTCAGGACTTGCAGTGTTATTTTGAAAATAATGAGGAGATACTCTTACTTTGTTCCTAATCTTAGTGAGAGGAGAACATTGTTTCTTACATTGTTTAGCTGGAGATTTTTAAACGCATGTCTTTATTATTAAGGGAGTTTTTTAGATTATAATAAAAATTAGGAATGGCTTTCCTCATTGAAAGGAGTTAAAAAATTTTTGTTAATATGATGAATCAACTGCTTCTGTTTTCCAAATACATAATCAGTGTTACATTTCTAGGATGAGATCTTGGTTATGAACTATCTTTTAATCTATTTCTGGATACTTTTTTCTATTTATTGAATATTTTTGTTTGTATGTGTGTCTGTTTGATGACAGATAATAACCAGACATTTTATTTCCTTGTAGTATCTGTACTGGTTTTCATATTGAGGATTACTGGCCTCTTATAAGGAGTTTTCAAGTATCCCTTCCTTTCCTAGTTCTAACGAAGCAATGGATAAAATAGTACTTCTTTTTTAAATGTTTTCTAATTAGGTAATTCGCCCTTAGTTTCCTTTGTAAAGTTTTCTTTCTTTTAATTCTAAAATCACAATTAGGAAGTATTGATTTCTTTTGGATGACGTTAGTAACTTGCTATTGTTCAAAGAACCCGCTAAGTAAAGTTGCTGGTGGATGCCTGGGCATTGATTTGTTCCCAGGACTCCCTCGTTAGCTCTACTGTCTCTAGGACTAGCATGATGTCTTTTATTTTTTTCATTATTAAGTTAATTCATCCCCATTGTCTTTTCCTGACTAGCTTGACCATAATATTTTTTAATTTATTCACTTTTAAAGAATGTTTCACCTTTGTATTTCATTGATTTCTGTTCTAATCACATTTCCTTTGTTGGGTAGAATATTATTTAAGTATCTACTAGTTTGACTGTTTTTCAGGTCATTTCTAAACCGGTAAAAAAAAGTATTATTGTGTGCATGTGCCATGGCACACATGTGGAGACCAGAGGATGCGTGTGTGGAGCCAGATCTCTCCATCTACCTTCATTCATGTGGGCTCCTGGCATTGAACTCCAGTTTGCAGGTTGGGTGGGAAGTACCCTTACCATTGAGGCATCCCAGCTACCAGCTTTCATGTATTTTTTACTGTTTTTATCAGTAACTACAGAGAAATGTTGATGTTATTGACTTAAATGGTACAGTCATCTACTTTTCCTTATACATCCTTCAGTTTTTACATATTTAGTTTATGCACATTTAGGATTCTTGACAGTTTTATACATGAATATAATGTATTCTGATCATATTCATACCCTCTGACTCCCTCTTGTTCCTCTCTCCGGCTAGGCCCTCTTCCATTTTCATGTCTTTTTCCTGTTTTGGGAACATTTTTAATTAGGATTGTATATGTCAGCATGGTGAGGGTTATTTACAGAAACACTGCATGTTCGCAGTGACTGAACCCCAAAGGATCACCCCTCCTCCAGCACTCACTTACTGCCAGTAGTCCCTTGGGAGGGACTGAACCTCTTCAGCCCCATTCTGTAAACAATCAGGAAGTGATCAGTAATCTTGGATGAGTGTGCACTCTTTAGATGAGGCCGAGAGCAAAATACTGTTGGCACTTTCAGCCATCCAAATTATTAGTTCTGTGCTTTTAAAAATTTGCAAGGTAGCAAAGTATTGGGCTCCATTATGGCATCTTGGTGTGTTCTGTGTGAGTGATTACATTCTGTTCTTATTCAGCACCTCTTCACCCCAGCTGTCCGCCTCAGTCCACTTGCCTCTGCTCTTGCTGGTCTTCCTCTTCTAGTCTCCTGCATTTCATTATCCTTTTTACTACCTTCTCATTTCCCATAAATCTGTGACTCTGGGCAGAAAGCCTCAATACGACATCACAGAATCAACTAGAGGAGAATTCCCTATTTTTCTTTTGGAGTCCATTTTGGTGATATTTTCCTAAGAATCAATCGATTTTGTATACACTTCTAAATTAATTGCTATAAAATTATCCTTTTACAAACAGTTTTAAAACTTGCAGTTTCTATTGTGCTATCTTTTGCAATTCACAATGTTTCATATTTGTCTTGCTCATTATTTTTCTTGGTAGATGTTTCTAAGCTGATGACTTGAGGGTAAAATCCAGCCTCTTGCCTTGTTGTGGACAGGTCAGGAGAGAGGATGCCATCTCTTCTTGGAGTGCTCTCTGTTCAGGACACAACATCCCTCCATTTACGTTCTGTCCCAGCTTCATTCCTTCCCTTTTGGGCACAGCTGTTGATCATGAGTGTCTCCTTTCCTGTTATCTATTTTGTTAACTTCAAAAATAAACCAGGAAGTGGAAAGTCAGGCTTCAAGTCATTAACAAGAACTGGTTTACCACCAAGGTCTCCGGGGCATAATTTAACTTTTGAATTTCCTTTGAAGTGACTTTTAGGTATTTGTAAGAATAATAGGAAATGTTTTCTAAGTTGACCGTTAAGTCTCTTTCAGATTTATTTATTTTTTGTATACGAGTGTTTTGCTCACATGCATGTTTATGCACCACACTTGTACCTGGTGCCTGTGGAGGTCAGAAGAGGGTGTAGGATCCCTGGCACTAGAATTGTAGATGGTTATCAGCCTTCATGTGGGTGCTGGAAATTGAACCTGGAAGAGCAGCCAGCGTCCTTAACCACTGAGCCATCTCTCCAGACTGATCTTCAGTCTTAACCACTTGTTCCTCAGGGGACTACTGAAATACAACAGTCCGAGAACACCAGGCAGGAAGTGATGGCTGGTTACTGTGGCGGGGGTCAGAGGGGAAGAAAAGAAGCTGCATGTTCCTAGTGCATACCTTCTGTATATACATTGCCATTCTTGGACGCTAGAGAATGTTCTTCGTGGCAGGTGTTTCTCGTTAGCCTTGTCTGACTGATGAAGAAACCACAGCTTGACATGAAGTGACTAATTAGAAGTCACAGACTTAGGGTGGGCTCTGAGTCCAGTTATGTCTGCCCCCTCCAACAGAACATGTAAAATTAACACAAGGATCTTTGTTGATCTCAGTGTAAGGACACTTTTTTCAGTTTTTCAAGACAGGGTTTCTCTGTATAGCCCTGGCTGTCCTGGTACTCACTCTGTAGACCAGGCTGGCCTTGAACTTAGAGATCTACCTGCCCGTGCCTCATCAGTGATGGGATTAAAGGCTTGTGCCACCACCACCTGGCCTTACACTTTTTTTTTTAAACTTGCTATACCCAATAAATGATATCAAAGTTGTGTTTGGTAATACAGAAATATTATTGTCACCAAATATATTTTAATTATCACTAACATTTTATCTATAACATTATTCCTCATAGATTCTGATTCCAAGTGAGTTTTAGAATTCATATTTTACCAACTGCCAGATGCTAAGCTTAATTATCTTTGTAAAGGATGAGCTGATCTGTTCCGTGACCTTGAGTCCTGTCTGTGACTCACAGGTAATGGGCAAGTCACTCCATTGCCGTCCTCATCCACAGTGATTTATACTTGTTATCCCCTAAAGCTCAGAAACAATGATTCAAATGCCCACCACAGTACTGTCATTCAGTAAGGAATATTTATTTAGAAGATATAGTAACATGCTTAGATAGAAAAATGAACACATGCCCTTTAGTGAACTGTAATGAAGAAAACAACATGAACAAAACTGTCTCCGAGGAATTTTATATTTTAGAGCCATACCATGTCTTAATAATCAGAATGTTAGCTGTGATAATAATTTTATAACCTCTCTCCTGAGCTCTAGATTTAAATAATTTTAAAGTAAATTTTGGCACTGCAAAGCTCACAATATAAAATCTGAGGTCTGAATAGAAATGAGACAGACTTTCCAAACTTTTGAGAACAGAAATATGATGGTGCAGGTACACCTCCAGATTCTGCCTAAATCAGCTTTCTTTCAAGAGACCAAATGCTTTTCATTATTGCACAGGGATTAGTATTTAAATACTAATTTTTAGGACACATTTAGAGAGTATTATAATTAGTTGAACAACTTATTTTTTATAATATATGTATCACCAAGAATTTAAGTTTTCCAAAGAATATGTCCTTATGTCTAAGATAACTATCAATTCTATATATTTTGATAATTACCTTTAGCAGTAAAATAAAATCACCTAAAATAGCAATAATGATGGCTGCTGCTTCATGAACACTTAGGCACTGAGCTAAGCACATCCTGTACATCATACAGTTGAATGTTCATGATAACTCAAGTAGGCAGGAAAGTTAACCATCATATAAACAAAACAGGCTTAGAGAAAAGCTAAGCAACAGCCAAATTCAAATCACTTTTAAGTTGTAGAGCCAGGTGTCTAAGGCAATCTGTCCTACTATGATTCAAAGCCAAGATAATTAGTATCATTCTGCTCCATTCATGAGAACTTTGATCTGCTGTGATAAATGTTAGTTTAATAACTTTGCCATATATTTATGAAAGTACAGTTCACATTTTTTAAGATAAGAAGCAAGATCAATTCAGGTGGAACAATGCCTCTGCCCCAGCTCATTTAAATATTTTTTATTTACATGTCTTTCTACCGTCATTATTCTAATAAAATTATAAATGCAAATATACCAGAGTACATGCAACATATTCCACAAAGGAACAAAAATGTTCAGTGCTACTGAATAAAGAACCCCAATATTACATACAAAGTGCTTAAAAAAGACCTTATGAGATATCCAGGCCATATTTATTTTAGAATTTTCCAATAATTGACAAGGAAGGCATAATTTATAAATATCTCAAATCCATTATTTTTTACTATGAGTCAATCAAGTAAGTTCCATTATGGATACTTAAAGCAAAGTCACATGGCATCAAAATGGAACCGATGGGCTTCTTGTCGCTTCTCTCTATCGTCTGCTTTCTGAAAGACAAGTGTAGAGTAATTTAAGTACTCAGAAAATAGTAAGATTCATTTCTGAAACATAATTTTTAAAAGATCAAAGAAATTTAGAACATAACAGGTATGATTTTTATAATGCAGTAATATAAAATATTTTTATAGCTCTAGTAGCTATTTTATAATTAAGAATATATTACTTGAATTTAAAAATCAAGAAGAAATGTTCCATATACTTATATTGTCATCACTTATTATCTGCTTGATAGTGAGAGTAAACATTAGGTGCTAGAAGAACACAATCACTGTTAACACTAATGTTAACAAACCAATCTAAACTAATTATATTAAGATGATTATTGGTTAGTTAACCTATTGATTTAGCAGATATTTATTGATCATCTTCTCCCAGTAAGAAGGATTAAAAAAAAGTTTTGTATTTTGTTCTTCAAGCACTTGAAGCCTAGAAAGGATAAAAACAAAACTTGCTATGCATCAGATTGACCCTAATTGTATTACTTTGGGTTTGAGTGAGGAAAGGGCAAGCTTTGCAAATACTATTTATGGAAATGGGAAGGGGCATTCATTTCAAGCTGGGAGTTCAGCATAAGGAGGCCTGGCGGGTGTGGAAGGTGGAATATAGGAAAGGATTGGAAGACACAGGAGAGCAGGGCATGTTGTGGAGTGACAAGAGAAGGAGTGTGAGGGTCTGGGTGAGGAACACTAACATATGTTGACAGTGATGAGTGTCTAGTGCAGGAGAGAGGGGGGAAGATGAAGTCAGAGAGACCAGCCTGGATCTAAGGAAGTGGCAGAAGGAGGCAGATGTGGAATCAGCTACAGAGATCCTCAGGAAGGTGGCTGATTAACACTGAAGATGAGTACGAAAGGGGAGAGAGGAAGCCTTAGAATATTGGCTTTGAGGGGAGTAATCCTGGTAGAGATCATTGTAACAACTGGAAATGGAGAAAGAGATGGAGAGAGAACATTTTGAGATATAACAGTTGACTTTAAATGAAATTGGCTGGAAAGTGGAGAAAGAAGAGGGCTTTGGGGGCAGGTGTGTAGAAAAGTTGTCCTGGGAGAATGGAAAATTCTGCGAGAGGTAAAAAACCGGCTAAAGAAATAGAAGACTAGTCCCAGGTGATACAGTGTGTCCATGGTGACGCAGTCACTTCAGCTGCTGCATCACAGCTGTTGGAATCCCACGTTTATACCACAGTCGGACCTCCTGATAAAATAAGGAACTTAGTTTCCTTATTAAGGTCACCAGATATATTTTGGATTATGTTGCTTTTAGACAAAGTATAGAGTCCTTCTACAATCTTAAAGTTAACTGAATATATAATTGTTAGTTATTATTTCTGATACACAAGTGATCATTCTTTGGAGTGACAAATCTATGAATAGTTATTAGAATAATCAACATGTTTTCCTTTTCATAAGTTACAAGAACAGCGAGATAAAATAGTAATTTTAGTTAGCAAAACATGATTCTGGTAGGCATGACAGTCCAAAGGAAAAAGAAAAAACCTCTCCTTTGTGAGAGGAGCCTTTTTGGGGGATATTGCTGGCATCTATTGGCTGAGTATCTGATATTACTTTCTTCTCCTCTTTGTGTGGTGCTAGGGAATGAGCCTATGCCCTTGACCACTGAGTTATATGGCAGTTCTTTAGTTCTGAAGAGCACCATGCTACACCATACTAAACTAACCAGAGTTACACTGAGAAACAAACCTTTTCCTGCCAGTGTAAAATAGCAATTATTGCCAAGATGAAAACGCAGACACCAATGAGAGCTACTGCAGTCAGCAGGACGATGTTACTCGGTGTAAGATACAATTTGGCACTCCAGCTGGGGATAAAAACAGAACAATTAAAATTGTAAACTTTAACATAATAAGGTTAAATTGAGATCAGAAAGCAAAGCAGCATATTAATTAATGAAATTTCATTGGTTAAATCATTCACTCATCTTGCAAAAGCAATTAAATTTAGATAATATGAAGAATATTGATGATCCTCAAGTGTTCATTGTTTTCTTAGAACTGAACTAGAATTTTCTTTTTGGCATATGTTTTTGGGGATTAAACCCAGGGCCTCATGTGTGCAGGGCCAACACTTTATTACTGAAGTATACACCCATCTCTCTGAAGTAGAACTGTTGATGAGATATTTAATATTTATGTATTACTAAGTTTGATCTTCAGAATTATTAAGTAAACTTACCAATAGTACTTTAGACAATTAAAGATGTCTTTTGAAAAGGAGATTTTGATCTGTTGAATTTGAAATTTTTAACTCTAGGGCTCTGTAAGTCACCTGATTTCACAAAGCCTATAGCATCTTAGTTTCTGACTCCCCTGCCCACACATGTAGTACAAGTAAAACAATCACATGTCTGAGTGGGTGTTTAATTGATGTCTGTGTAAAGCTGGCTTCATGTTATGTTGAACATTTTAAATTATTACAGTAACTTTTATGTTGAGACTTATAAAGTCACTTAGCCTTTCTGTTAATGTCAATACATCAGCATAAACATAATTAGGTCTGCTCTCTTAAAACACTATACATAATGCAGCACCTGTAAACACTGCAAATCCTGAAACTGGGGTCTTTATGACTAACTCTGTGGGCAGTTATGCACACAGAGCTTCTTGTTCTCCCTGGAAACAGGAAATGACTGTGTTCTCATTTTAAAAGAGTAATAAGGGCAAGATCATTCTAATGAACAGCAAGTAGCTATTGATTTATTTTGACATAATTAAAATTTATTGATCTGTAAGTTAGTCTTTAGTCAGTAAATCTCAGAATACACCTCAAACAAAAATCAATTAGGGTTTTTATTATGTACATAAATTTGAAAAGGACATTTCTTTGGAAAGAGCAAGAGAAACATGAGAAATGTTCTGATTATGGAAGAAAGCTATGGCAGGATTTTTCAGAAATTCAGAAAATTGAGTATTGCTGAGTACCTTACAATAGAAAACCAAACTATGTTGTTTTTCTGAGACAGGGTCTTGCTATCTAGCCCAATATATCCCTGAAGCTGACACCATCCTGCCTCAGCCTCCTGGTATTGGGGTTACAGATGTGAGCTACCACGCTCAGAAAAAAAATGGTTTTCAATAAATCATTACACTTTTTAAAAATTCTTTTTATTTTGTGTGCGTGCCTGTGTGTGTGCATGCATGGCTATGGAGGCCAGAAGAGGGACTCGGGTCTCCTGGAGCTGGAGTTACATGTGGTTGTGAGCCACCTGACGTGGGTGTGGGAACTGAACTGAGGGAACAGCAATCGCTCTGTCACTGAGCCATCTCTTTAGCCCCTAAAACTGATTTTTTTCTTCCATCTTGAATTTTTTTAGTTCTATTTTTTAAATAGACTTTTCCCTCCAAAGATGAAGACATTCGTCATTTTGGTTAAAAGAGAAACAAAAGGTCAATCTTCAGTTGCCTACTCAGGAGATTTCTTGTATAGTCTGTCAGAGATATACATACATGAGCATGTATGTACAGACATCTTCTTTTAAAATCACAACATATATTTCTCCATTTTGCTTGTTTTCTTTTTCTCCCTCCCTATAACGTACTGTTCTGTGTCCATGGCAGTAAACATAAATGAGTCACTACAGTGTACTCTTATCAGTACTACATTTTCTATAGTTTCCCTGCTCCTTATTCAGATTTTATAGTTTGTTATCAACTTCATGTGGAGAAAGATACCACAAATATACAGCACTGGATTATTAAAACAAAACAGAATGAAACAAAAACAAACAAACAAACAGGCACCAGGGTCAGGCATGACAGTTCCAGGTACTCAGGAGGCTGATGTGGGAGGGTTGTGGAGCCCCAGAGTTTCAGATCAGCCTAGGCAACATGGTGATTTTTATCTTAAAAACAAAACAAAACCTCAATCTACTCCAACTCTGAACCAGACAAAATAGCTATATCTATTAATGTTATCTTATTGATACAGTGATGTGCTGGCCAGTTAGTTGTCTAGCAGGGAAGGTAACTCTGGTTTATGACATTTCTTAGTTTTCATGGGGTAAATTCTCTCAGAGTAAAAGACTTTAATGAATAAAGATAGAAAAAGATGGACACAGTGAACTCATGAGATGGCATGCACTGGTTCCCACTGAATGTACTCATGTACAATTTTAATGAAGACTGGAGCTAAGAGAGTAGCTCACTGGTAGAATGCACAAGGCATTGGGTTCAACTCCCAGGACTGCAAAACAAACAAACAAATCAAACTAGTATTTACAAGTAGTGAAAATTAAATATATGCAATATGTTTAAGCTTCATTTTGTCCTAATAGGAATGAGTTTACTCCTTATAAAACACCAGGGTAGGTGTGTTAAATAATTTGAAAGTGATTAAGTAAATTAAGTGTTGGGCACTCAGGGAAACAGAGTAGGCAATAAATATGATAGTTTATAAAAATATGCCACTGGATATCTACCAAATTGAGGTCAATCAAGGAAGGATATTACCTTCGAGGGACATTGTGAGGATATGGAATGACAATCAGCTGGGAATTTGGAATGATTGCTGTCCACTCTTGTTTTCTTATTGACTGAAAAGAGAATTTAAGAACACTTAATATCCAATTAGTCTAAATATGAAAAAAAAACCCCAACCAACCAAACAAACAAAAAAAGCAAACCCTCAAGTATTTTGAGAATCTGAAATCCAGATATAGAGGATTATATTTGTGTGTTATGAATTCAGTCATTCAACAAATACTGATTGTTCAATTTTAGCAGGCATTATTCAAAGTGCTCCGTGTAAATGCTGATTGGAGCTAAAATTCACATCAGGAAATGGACAAATGACACTATTCTATGTATCCTATGTATATATGTGTAAGTACAATAATGCTACTTTTATGGTAATAGATACTACTTATGCTGTAAGTGATAAAATATTATGAAGAAATAGCAGGTAAAATGGATAAGAAGTCACAAAGTTTAATGGGGAAGAAATGGAAAAAACTATATAATAACAAATCATGGTATGCTCTAAGATAAGGTTAGACAAGTCACTATGAATCATTTTTTAATTATTTAAAGGCAATAAAATATCTGAATTCAAATGATTGGATTTAAATGTTTAAGTCATAAGTATTAAAACAGATTGTCAAGCAACTAAATGTTTACTTGCCTTCTCTCCAGATGGACGGGGAATACCAACATAAAGGTGGTCCAGGAAATTGGCACTTCGGCCTAAACCAAGTACATTGTAAGGTAGTTGGAGAGCTAAGTGTGCTGACTGGCTGAGCTGTCCAGCTAGATTTATGAAAAAAAAAAAACACACCAAAAAAAACCAAATAAACAAAAACACTTCTGAAAACATTGCACTCATTAAGTCTTGAAGTCTTTAATATTTTAGTTAAATCCAGGTATAAAATGTCAGATGAATGGTCAGTTAATTAATATTAATGATTCATAAAAATATGCTTTGTTTGAGATACAATTCCCATACTATAAATAATGTCCACTTATAAAATATAGTAAAATGGCTTTGAGACTATCCTAAGGGTTCACCTTAGTGAGCACAATGTAATTTTAAGATGCTTTAATTACTTGAAAAACTCAATACCCAAGGCTGGTACTCTTGTCAGCAATATTACACTTCCTGCTGTAGGCATTCTCTCTAACTGTCCTATTCTGAGGACTTTATAAACAGTCATACAATAGATGGACTTTGTAACTGGCTTCTTTCACTTGGCATATTCTCAAGGTTCACGATAAAGCATGTTTCAGTACTTCATTAACTGCCATCTAGCATGATACATACTACATTTTGTTTCATTAATTAATTTCATTAATAGGCTTTTGGGTAATTTTCACTTTGGGTTACCATTAAATAATACTGCTCTGAACATTAATATACAATTTTTTGTATTTACTAGATTATATACCTAAGAATATGGATGATAATTAATTGCCTATTCCAAAATAGGCACCAGAGATAATCTCTGGTGTTCCTAACACAAAGCAATCATAAGTGTTTGAGGTGTTAGATTTGCCAATTACCCTGATCTAATTATTATACATAATATACATGTATTGAAATGTCACATTGTACCCCATAAATATGCACAATTATGATGTATTAATTAAATGTAGTATATATGTATGTAAAGATAAAAGGTACCTGTCCCATTTCATACTCAGACAAGCAACTGTATGAAGGTCCAAAATTTTCTATACACTAGCGAACACTTATTATCACCATATGATGGCTGGGAAACAACATCTCTGATATCAGAGTTTAACCTGAACTCCCTATTACCAAATGATGTTGAACTTCTTTCAAGTGCTTGCTGTTCATTTGTGTATCTTCTTATTTTTATGAACTTAGTTCAAACTGAATTTTTGTCTTTTTTTCCTGATCAGTGTAAGTGAAGTCTTGCTAGTTTTTAAATATGTCTCAAACGTATCCTTTGGTTTGCTGTTTCTCTCTATTCTCTACTTCATTTAGTTCCTTTTTATGTTTCCAGTTTCTCAAGGTGAAAGATGGCAATACTCATTCCAGACAGTTATTTCTACAGGGTCTCTAGCTCAGGCTGGTCTAGAGCTCTCTATGTTTCAAGGATTATCTTGAACTTCTGCACCTCCTGCTTCTACCTCCAGAGTTCTGGGATTATAGGCATGAGCCCCAGAAACAGGTTTAAGAGGTACTGGGGATCAACTCTAGGCCCCTGCATGGCAGACTACTATTCTCCCGGCTGAACTATATATCCCTACCTGGTTCTTATTTTTTTTAATATAGGCATTTGGAACAATCCATTTTCCTGTAAGAAAGATTTTAGCTGCATTCTATGGATTTTAATATGTTGCATTTTTTTGGTTCACATTTACTTCCATGTATTTTCTAATTTTTTTCAATCCATTATTTTAGAGTGTGTTGATTGATTTTCATGTATTTACAGATTTCAAAAATGTTCTTGATTTTTTAAAAAAAGATTCACTTATTTTATGAATATGTGCATGTGCCTGAGTGTACGTATGCACACCACATGCATACAGATGTTTTCAGAGGCCCCAAAAGGGTATCAGATCCCCCAGAACTGAGGTAACAGGTGGTTGTGAGCCACCTAATGTGGGTGCTGGGAACCAAACCCTTGTATTCTGCAGAAGCATCAAGTACTCTTAAATGCTGAGCATTATTTTAAGCTTCTTCTTACTGATTTTTAATATGTGGTCAGAGAACACACTTGTGTGTTCAGTCCTTTAAGATTTATTGAGTTTTATTTTATGACACGGTATGTGGCCTATATGGGAAAATGTTCTATGTGAACTTGAAAAACAATGCATTTTCTAGGTGCAGTGTTCTACACATTTCTGTTAGGAAAATGTTCTATGTGTCCCTGAAAAACAATCATTTTCTAGGTGCATTTCTGTTAGGTCTTCACATCTTTAATTGATTAGCTGCTTAGTTGTGTGACCCATTTTGAAAGAGAGATATTAAAGTCCTTACCAGCCCATCATCAATCAACCAATTATTGGTTAATCAGTGTGTCTCGATATGTTGAACTTCAGGACTCACATGATCTTCCTACCTTAGCTCTGGAGTGGGTGGGACCACAGGAAAGAGTGACATGTGACTATGTCTGGCTCCAGTTATTTATTGTTGAGTTACCCACCCCTTACTTCCATTCTTCATTAATTTTGTGGCTCTGATGTTAAGTGCATATATATGTTGAGTTGTTGCACCCTCTTATGGACTCACATTGAAATCTATTATTATTAGTGTATGTGTGTAAATGCCTGTCACGGCAGATGTGTGGCATTCAAGGACCACCTGCAGGAGTCAGTTGTCTCCTTCCACTATGTGGGTCCTGGGGATTGCGGTGGTTGGGCTTGGCAGCAAGCCCCTTTACTCACTGACCCATCTCACCAGACCATGGACTCACCTTTCACCGTTCTACTAACAGTTTTGTCTTTAATGTCTAGAGAATCTCCTATAGACACAGTAATTTTGTTATCAGTTCTGACACAATCTTTTGATGGAGTGCTTCTTTCATTTACTTTTAAAATAATTACTGATAACAGAATTTATGTCTGTGCCCACACAGGTCAGAAGAAAGTGTCAGATCTCCAGGCACTGCATTTACAGACATTTTTAGCAGCCCTGAGGGTACAAGAACAAGTGTTCTTAATCACTGAGCCATCCCTCCAGTACCTCAGTGTTTTAATATATTTTGAGTGTCACTATCCTAGTGGTTGCCCTGGGGATTTCAATTAACAGCACAGAAAAAAAAATCTAGTTCAGATTAATACTAATCTAATTCAAAGTTCATATAAAAATATGCTACAGTATAACTGTTGATCTGATTTGTATGGATTTAAATTGCTGTCTGTATCAGTCTTAAAGGGGATCTTTTTAGTGTTGGAGAGTTCTGCCAGTGTGATTAATGCTGTTTTAGTTTCTCTGAGCATATCTAGGGTACTTCATATTTGAAGGATACTTTTGTCTATCTTTGATTGATAATTCCCCTTTCTGCATGTATAATGTATAATCCACTGCCTTCTTGCATACAGATGATGTGATAAGTTACTTTTTTTGTTGCTTTCAAGAATATTTTTTGAGAGTTGATATGACTGAGTATGGGTCTTTGGGTTTATCCTATTTGGGGTTTGTAGATCTTCTCAGATGTGTGTATTAACATTTGTCATAAAATTTGGGTGGTTTTAGCAATGACTTATGTATTATTTCTGCTTTTCTTTCCCTGTTTTTTTCATCCTACAATTTCTATTACCAATATGATGGTGCCTCCACAGGTCCCTGAAACAGACTGTCAACTGATATATATTCAAGTGTTCAGATTATTTCCTAGCTCAAACATCACAGAGCCTTCTACTAGTATTTTCAAATACAGTAATTTCCGACTACAGAATTCCTACTTGATTTTTTGGTAGGTCTGAGGCTTGAACTGAAGGATTCAAGCATGCTGGAGTTAACTATTACTGGGATGCCTTCCTACCTCTCTTCCCTGTTATTCAATAAAGTGCTGGAAGTCTTAGGGTAATATGACAAGAGAAAGAAACAAGAGAGCTACAAACAGTAGTCAATTTATTTCTTTTGCAGATGTTATGATCTTGTACTTCAGAGGCCCTAGAGACCCCACTTGAAAGCCCTTAGACTTGTAAACACAGTAAAGTAGCAGAATACAAAAGCAACATATATTAAGTCTCTATAAATGATAAACTTGTTGAGGAAGAAATTAAGGTTCACAACAGCTTTAAAAAATATCCAGGATAATTCCAAGGATGCAAATGACTTCTACAAAGGAAACTTTTAAGACACTGAAAAAAATGCAAGGCACAGGAAGATGAAAATGCCTCTAAGACTCATGGATTGTCAAAATTAGTGTTGTGACAATGGCTATATTATCAAAAATGATACAGATTCAATGCAGTGCCCATCAAAATCCCCATGGCATTCTTCACAGTACCAGAAAAGCAACCCTAAATTTCATAGAGAAGCAGGTAAGATTCCAAACAGCCAAGACCATCCTTAGCTGAAAGAACAATCATACTAGAGATATCTTAGATTACCTGATCTCAAATTAGAGAGCTACAGTAATAGAATCAGCATGGAACTGGCACAAAAACAGACTTGGTGACCAAGAGAAGAGAAAGAAACTCACATACCTAGAGCCACAAAGGTGTCAAAATCACTCAGCTGGGTATATGTGTTAGCTCATCCCTACAATCACAAGCACTAGTGAGGCTGGGGTGTGAAGACTGCCATGAATTTCAGGTCATCTGAGTATACAGATTAAAGACTTTGATGTAAGACTTGAAACTGAAAGGAGAAAACCTTTTAAGATTAATGAGCACAGGCCAGGATCTTCTGAAAAGAACTTCAGGGCATAGGAACAATCTGAAGAACTGCAAAGTGGTGATATACGAAACTAAAGCTTTTGCTCAGCAAAGGAGACAGCTACAGAATGAGGAAGAAAGAAAAGCTTTTCCAACTTTACGTCAAGCACAGAAATAATATTGAGGATCTATAAAAGACTGCAAAAATTAAATACTAAAACCTCAAATCATCTAATCAATAAATGGGCTAATGAACTGAATAAGCTTCTCATAGAATTACAAATGGCCAATAAAAACTCAAAGTAGTGTTCCAACATTCTCAGCCATCAGAGAAATGCAAATTAAAGCTACTTTGAGATTCTACCCTAACTCTGGTCAGAATGGCTATTATAAAGAAATAGGACATCTGCTGTGAGACGGTGTCTTCTCTTTAGGTCAGGAAAGTTGTACCCATA